CCATTTCAGGGCTTCCATCGTATCTAATAGAATTAGCAACGATTTTTTCCGTCACTAACCGCGGCAAAAGGTGTTTTAGGCAGCGGTTAAATAAATCGCCGCTAAAAGTCGAAGAGAAAGTTTAACTTCTCCTCCCCTTCTTTAGACATTGCTTTTTCACTATAAAATGTATCTTTACAGATATCCCCTCATCACTATCTCTCCAATTGTCTATGTTTATAGACATTACAAAGAAATATCGTTTAAAACTACTCTCTATAGTAATCTTTGTGATCTTTTATGAAATCTTGGTGACATGAAGCCTGCACATCCCCATTGTTTGAAGCCTGCAAATTCATACAGCCCAAGCTGCATTAAAAGCAAATTAATAAAGCTAACTGAATTAATAAAGCAAACTTCATTCAGAAACAGCGGTAAAGAGGAACCAGGTCACTGGAAACTCATTGAATTAACTCCGTTTACATGAACCGCTACAATAGATGAGGACAACCACCAGAACACCATGTGAATAGGAACCCGAAAACATTATGAAACTCCATTAATATGTGAATGTTTCCATGTGGTGTGAAAGGTCATTCATTCTTGAAGGAGGGAACTTTAAAGGAGGGCAGAATCAAAGGCCTCTAAGACTAAATTCACAGAGGATAGATTAAAGTGTTCGACTCTAATATTTAGTCGTTCATAGGGACCAAAATCCCACTTCCCTGTATTAATTCTAATTTTTTCCCCTACCTTATTGTATGCTTCTGTTGGACCAAAATAAAATGGCATTTACTAATCATCTAATTAGCCACTTTAGTATCTATCTATGCACCCTACCTTCCAGCAAGAAGTGACTTCCAAGAAAAACACACAATTACAACCAAAGTGTTTACTCTTCAATAATTTTTTTCAGAACCTCCAACTTTCATTTTTCAATTCCACTTCATTGATTGAATTCCTAAAATAATCTAACAATAAGATTGATGTTTGAACCAAAACCAATATCAAGGACACAAACGAAGCTCACAAAATACAATTGATTGATTCAAAATTAGTTTTATAATTTTATAAAATGTGAATGAAGAGAATTACCACAGATAAACAAACACAAGGTTCAGATAGCTTTGTAAGCATACATATAGCCTCGAAGTTTTCTTATCTCTTCTGATGAATTAGTTAGCAGATGGTTAACGTACACAGTCAGTCCAACTCCGCTGCAATTCCAGATATCAGTTCATGAATAAATTATTGCATGGACAACTTATGGACAAGAACACATGAATCAGATTTAACATACCTTAGAGGTCCAAATGGAAGCCATATTGCATCCCAGCGAACCCTTGACAATCTGCACAAGTATCGTATTTGTTGAAAATTAATTTATACCTCGAGAAACTTAAGAGCAATGCAAGATGACAACAAATTGAACACAAATATGAAACCAAAATGCAGATGTACCCATGTTACAACACAAAAAAATGAATTGCACATTATGTCAAGTTTCTGCACCAGTCAAATGAATGAAGGCCCACTGTCTCAAGGGACGAATGAAAGATACACAAGGAAATAAGATCTTACTTTAATGAAATAGTTATATTTCTTTCTATTTATTTACCTCCCACTCAAATTCTCATCGTATTCAGTTTCGAAGACTTGTTATGGTGATAAAGAAAAAATGTCAAGATTAAAAGATAAATAACTCATGTTAGAATGTGCGAGTTTGAGTCTTTGAGAAGTAAACATACCTCAGCATGTAAGACAACCAGAAAACTGCAAGCCAAGTCCAATGGCGGTGATGCTTTGAATCAGGAAGTAATCCTATGATTGCTGAGCGAACATGCTACGACAGCTACCCAGTCTGTTAAATTTTTAAATAGTTAATTATCTCATATCAAAATAATGTAAAAGATAGCCATCTAAGCATATAGACACATCACGCTAAGCTTACTTCCTCAACAGTGAATAATTAAAGATTCGGTTTCAAAACCCGAAAAAATATACATGGAGTATAATACATATACTGTATTGCCTGTTCCCACATGAAACAATTCCGAAAGAAGAAACCATAAGAAATATATTATTGTTTGTTGGTTGAGCAACTAAACTATACTGCTACAACCATATCATGACTGATGGCACATGACTCTACTAATGATAAGTATTTGAAAATCACCTGCAGATATTGTCGACCATGAATACATCTCCACCATGAAGTATGAATGAAAACGCTGTTGATCAACAACAAAATATGACAGTTCATGGAGTGAGTAAATACATTTTTCAAAAACATAGCTATGAATTTCGCATAGAACAAGTAGTTGACATCCTGGTCAAAAACAGAACATATCACTTCGTGGAGTAAAAATATTTTTGAGAAAAACATATCCACGAAATCACATATAATAAAAAAAAGACATTTGCCACCTACTCCATGGCGTTAAACAATCTGATTATCGATATTAGAGCGCCAAAGAAAGAAAAGATGCATACTGTACGAATGACAAGAAAATACGACACGCCTCAAATGTCCCAGGTTTCATAAACAACAAAAATGCACTCAACCCACAACTTATTTCTAAATCCTTTCAACAAACTTGATCTTCAAACCGCTATCCTCACTATTAGTGATTGAAGATAACATATAATCACTTGCATTTAAGTCCTCATTACATAATTAACTAAAATTTAAAAACCCATCCGAATGAAACAATGACTCCCAAAGGATTAATCGAAACGTAATCGGGAAAAAAAAAAAACCCATTGTCATGCGTGTGCTGTAACTGTAAACCAATAAAAATGGTAAATTTCAAAGGTAAAATCAGGATTAGCAAGATAATTACTTCATACTTCGTAAGAAACCAAAAAGTAAAAAAATGTAACCTTATTTGGAAAGAAAATTTATCCTTCATAAACGATTCTGTTGAGCTTGAATCTTCTCGAATTGACGAACCAACTCTTCTTTCTCTGTAAATTCGACAACCCAGTAAGCGAAATTGGAATAAAAATTCAAATTTTTTACCAATTGTAGAGAGAGAGGGGGAAGAGAGAGACCTTGAGCATCCATGCGGAGAGAGAGGTCATCGTCCTGCGAATTTCTCAGTTTTTGTGGTCGGCATCGATCCCTCCCAGTTCTTCTCAGTTGAAGGTTTCTAAATTTCCTGTTTGGCCATTGGGAAAGTGGACCTGGTGCTTTTCGTTATTCCAGCAACTGATTCTTTTCAACAAAACTAATGGAAATGATTTGAAAACTTTAAGTTTTAACGATAAGTGTAAAATAAATAGTAAAATGAATAGTATTAAGATTGACTTTTTAATGTAAAAATATGATTTTTCGTTAAAATAAACAGTACCGTGAATTTTTCGTCAATACTCCCTTCTTCTTAAGATGACGTCTTTCTTTTTAATATTTATGTTTGAGTTTTAAATAAACCGTTCTAACTATGCGTTGTTTTGATCTTATAGCACATTATTTCCCCCATGTAAAGTTTGTCATTATCGTTGCGGCTCATGCGCGACTCTTCTAATTTTCTGCCACATACGGGCCACATTAACGGTTTTATAATTTTTACGGAATTTTGAAACGAATTACACAGTTATGATTTGTAGTTGACAATATGAAATATAACCATACTTTACTTACATGGGGACTGCAACGATTGTATGCCTTATTTTGGTAAAATAAAATAAAGCCTATTTATTTATTTTATTATATTTAGTTTCCATCATTTTATTTTCAAAGAAATACATGGTTTTTTTGTTGTAGGAAAATAAGTTGCTTATTTTAAAAGTACTTTCTAATTCTACGGACCACTTTTGGATGCAGTGCAGAGAAGCGAATGGGTATTGTGCCGAATGATAAGAGGAACGGATTACACAGGTTTTTGAGGATTTTGCAAATTTTTGGAATTTTTTATATAAGTTACTATTTAATAACAGAGGCAGCCTCCAAGATTAAATATTTCATCATTTCTTCTATAAAAGTTTGGTGCATGAAGAATTTTATTAAACGAAAGACTTAGTGCAAAACCGACCATGATAACGTTCCATAATTCATATTAAAAAAAGCCAACTCCACATAGTGGAATGAGACTTGGTGGTGGTTGTTGTTGTAATAAGAACATTAATTTGATGTTTATCTACAATTTTGTGAGATATTTGTGTCTTCATTGTTCAATCAAGCTTTTCAAATTTTTGCAGAAGATCCATCTTCACTCAAACCCTCTCAGCCTTTTTTTTTTTTTTTTTTTTTTTTTTGTGCTTTATTGCACTCACTTCCGTGCCTTTACCAGCAAGCAAGCTCCCCAATTTTCTTCTCATCTCATGCCTTGTGGCGTAAGTACAGTAACGTTGAGTGATCATTTCAGTGGCTTTAAGAAAGTAATTAATTCAAGAAAATACGCTTTAATCCATTTCTGCATGATGTTGATGGTGTTTCCCTTTTCTTTCTTGGCATTGGTCTCGTTTTTATGTTGCCAATCTCATCGAGTCATAGCTTGTCTAATTTTTTTTTTCCCTAAGGTGAAAATGAATGACTGAAAAATGGAGTTGGTGGGATTCGAACTCAAGCAATGAAGGCTACTAGACAAGCGTCTCGAAGAGAACCCATTTAGATGGAGGCTTCATGTTTATTACACATGATATTATTGAGATAATACATGTTTATTGTCTTCCTTGTTAATTGTAAATATAATCTTGAGGAAATAACTAATAAATATTATTAGATTTTGGCTTACTGAATTTCTTATAGTATTTTATGGAAAGGAAAATAAGTTTTCTACTGAAGAACGGAGGAAAAACACATCAATCAGCAGAAAGTAGTCAGTTTTTGAGTTTAAATGACAGTTTTTCATCTTTAGCGACGATTTCCAGTGTTTAGCGACCGTTTTTCCTACTTTTAATAACCATTTCAGGGCTTCCATCGTATCTAACAGAATTAGCAACGATTTTTTCCGTCACTAACCGCGGCAAAAGGTGTTTTAGGCAGCGGTTAAATAAATCGCCGCTAAAAGTCGAAGAGAAAGTTTAACTTCTCCTCCCCTTTTTTAGACATTGCTTTTTCACTATAAAATGTATCTTTACAGATATCCCCTCATCACTATCTCTCTAATTGTCTATGTTTATAGACATTACAAAGAAATATCGTTTAAAACTACTCTCTTAAGTAATCTTTGTGATCTTTTATGAAATCCTGGTGACATGAAGCCTGCACATCCCCATTGTTTGAAGCCTGCAAATTCATACAGCCCAAGCTGCATTAAAAGCAAATTAATAAAGCTAACTGAATTAATAAAGCAAACTTCATTCAGAAACAGCGGCAAAGAGGAACCAGGTCACTGGAAACTCATTGAATTAACTCCGTTTACATGAACCGCTACAACAGATGAGGACAACGACCAGAACACCATGTGAATAGGAACCCGAAAACATTATGAAACTCCATTAATATGTGAATGTTTCCATGTGGTGTGAAAGGTCATTCATTCTTGAAGGAGGGAACTTTAAAGGAGGGCAGAATCAAAGGCCTCTAAGACTAAATTCACAGAGGATAGATTAAAGTGTTCGACTCTAATACAATCACTAATTTTTTAAATTTTATTTTGGTGCAATACAATCTCTAATATTTAGTCGTTCATAGGGACCAAAATCCCACTTCCCTGTATTAATTCTAATTTTTTCCCCTACCTTCTTGTATGCTTCTGTTGGACCAAAATAAAAAGGCGTTTACTTATCATCTAATTAGCCACTTTGGTATCTATCTATGCACCCTACCTTCCAGCAAGAAGTGACTTCCAAGAAAAACACACAAGTACAACCAAAGTGTTTACTCTTTCAATAACTTTTTTCAGAACCTCCAGCTTTAATTTTCCAATTCTACTTCATTGAATTGAATTACTAAAATAATAATCTAGCAATAGGATTGATGTTTGAACCAAAACCAATTACCAAGGACACAAACGGAGCTCACAAAATACAATTGGTTGATTCAAAATTAGTTTTATAAAATGTGATTAAAGAGAATTACCATAGATAAACATACACAAGGTTCAGATAGCTTTGTAAGCATAAACATAGCCTCGAAGTTTTCTTATCTCTTCTGATGAATTAGTTAGCAGATGGTCAACGTACACAGTCAGTCCAACTCCGCTGCAATTCCAGATATGGGTCATGAATAAATTTAAAAGTTGCATGGGCAACTTATGGACAAGAACACATGAATCAGATTTAACATACCTTAGAGGTCCAAATGGAAGCCATATTACATCCGAGCGAACCCTTGACAATCTGCACAAGTATCATATTTGTTGAAAATTAATTTGTACCTCAAGAGAAACTGAGCAATGCAAGATGAAAACAAATTGAACACAAATCAGAAACTAAAAATGCAAGTGTACCCATGTTACAACACAAAAAATGAATTGCACATTATGTCAAGTTTCGCACCAGTCAAATGAATAAATGGCCACTGTCTCAAGGGATGAATGAAAGACATATAAGGAAATAAGATCTTATTTTAATGTAATAGTTATATTTCTTTCTATTTAGCTACCTTCCACTCAAATTTTCATCGTACTCAGTTTCGAAGACTTGTTATGGTGATAAAGAAAAAATGTCAAGATTAAAAGATAAATAACTCATGTTAGAATGTGTGAGTTTGAGAAGTAAACATACCTCAGCATGTATTCAATCAGAAAAGTGTAAGTGCAACCAAGTCCATCGCCGGTGATGCTTTGAATGGAAGTAATCCTACGATTGCTAGTGAACATGCTACAACAACTACCCAATCTGTTAAATTTTTAAATAGTTAATTATCTCATATCAAAATAATGTAGAAGACAGCCATCTAAGCATAGACACATTATGCTAAGCTTACTTCCTCAACAGTGAATAATCACAAGATTAGGTTCAGAACCCGAAAAATATACATGGAGTATATAACACACATACTGTATTGCCTATTCCCACATGAAACAAGTCAGGTATATCTCGTATACAGAATTCCGAAAGAACCAACAATAAGAAATATATTATTCTAAGTTGGTTGAGCAATTAAACTATAACGCTACAACCATATCATGACTGATGGCACGACTCTACTAATGATAGTATTGGAAAATCACCTGCAAATATTATCAACCATGAACACATCTCATCCATGAAGTAAGCATCAAAACGCCGTTGATCAACAACAAAATATGACAGTTCATGGAGTAAGTAAATATATTTTTCAAAAACATAGCTACCAACTTTGCCAGTAGTTGCCCACCTGACTCCATGGCGTTAAACAATGTCATTATCGATATTAGAGCGATCCAAAATGAAAATAACAGATTCATCCTTTAAGAAAGACAAGAAAATACGACATGCCTCGAGTCAAATGTCCGCGGTTTCATACAACAACAACAACAACAACAAAGTCTTTTCCCACTAAGTGGGGTCGGCTAATCTAATCCTTTCAACAACAAAAATGCACTCAACCCACAACTTATATCTAATCCTTTCAACAAAAACAAGCTCTACCCGGTGAAATTTTCCAACTTGATCTTAGAACCGCTATCCTTACTATTACCGATTGAAGATACCACACAATAACTAGTTGTATTAAGTCTCGTTGTTAATAATAAATATTGCAAAAAACACATCCTAATTGAAATCCAATGGATCCCAAAGGATTAATCGAAACGTAATCGGAAAACAAAAAAAAAAAAGAAAAAAAAAAGCCCACTTTCATGCCTGTGCTGTACAAAAATGGTAAATTTCAATGGTAAATCAGAATCGGCAAGAAAATTACTTCATACTTTGTAAGAAACCAAAACGTAATAAAATGTAAACTTGTTTTTAGTTAGAGAGAAACTATACCCTCCATAAACGATACTGTTGAGCTTGACTCTTCTCGAATTCACGAACCAACTCTTTCTCTGTAAATTCGACAACCCACTGAGCGAAATTGGAATAAAAATTCAAAAATTTTACCAGTTGCAGAGAGAGACCTTGAGCATCCATGGGGTGAGAGAGAGGTCGTCGTCCCGCAAATTTCTCAGTTTTCGTGCTCGGCTTCCTCATCCGTCCCCCACAGTTTTTGTCAGTTGCACGTTACTATTTTTTCTGTCTGGCCGTTGGGAAAGTAGAAAGGAAAAAGAAAGGAAAATTTGGGGATTTCTCTGCCGAAATTCTAATTCCTATCGTGGACGGTGGATCAAGTGGGTCTGTGTTTCTCCTGTTATTTGTGGCCGTAGGATGAGTAAAACCGATTTTTTTTTCTTATTGCGGACCTGGCGCTTTTTAATTTTCACGTTTGAGTTTTGGATGAACCGTTTTAACTGTGAATTGTTTTGATCTTGTAATACATTATTTTCGTGAATAAAATACTTTTTTCTACAACAGAAAATCAGTCTATATTATGAAAGTTTATTTTCTTTTCTTTCAATACTCTTTTAGCAAATTCAATTCATGTCAATGTAATCTCGTCACTGATTCTAAAAATAATTCGTCCAAATTGAGGGTTATTTTCATATACACGTGTTATAAGATTTCGTTCCTCTAAAAAAAAATTCCTTCATTGTGTGTCAATAAATGCAATATGTGCCCTAACTTAGTATAATTTACAGTAAAATTGTTTCAAGCTGAGTATATTACATTTGCTAACGCACTAGGAATAAAATTGGCATAGTTAAAGAGGAGGTGACATTAGGGATGGCAATGGGTCGGATTGGGTTTGAATGTGTCATCCCTATACCCGAATTTGTATATTTTTCCCGAACCCAAACCCGTAGAATCCTCGAACGGGTTTTCCTCATAGCCGAACCCGTCAAGTGACGGATTTTTGATCGGGGAACGGTTTTCCCCATTATGATATTTATATATTTATTTATATTATTAACTAAATGAAGAATATTAAAAAATGATATTAAATTGCTATTATTAATACAATTGATACAATGCATCTAATAAGTAATATTAAAAATTTATATTACTAAGAAAACATTTACACTCTTAAAAATTATAAGCATATAATTCCTATTATTAATGATATAAAAGTAAATAATTAATTTCATATTTAATAATGCATGATTATTAACAACCCCTTTTCATATAATAAATATTTGTATATTTTTATTCATAGATGAAATGGTTCGGTTTCAAGTATGGGTTTGGGACGGATACCCTAATAACCATAATCGAACCCGAAACCGAAAAATTTACCAAACGGTTACCCATAACCATAAAATACTTGAAATTTTATACCCGAAATCGAACCATTTGGATCGGTTACTTGCAGGGATTGGATTTGACGGGTTAAATTGTCATCCCTAGGTGCTACTAAGTACTACGGTCTAGTGGTATTTCTCTTCACTTGTAAGTGAGAGGTCTTAAGGTGGATTCTCGCCAAATGAGAATTTGAACCACATTATTGCTAGTCCATTGTGAGGCTAAGTCTACTCTCGTCCCCTTTAGTGTAGATAAAATCGTTGTTAAAAAAAAAATTAAGTGGAAAACAACACATATAAATTTCAATTTTTGCTCATCCAACTCAATATAGTTAGGAATTATGTTGCCTACTAAATTCTAAAAATGAGGGATACTTTTTTGTTTGAAAAAGAGGTAAACGCAAGAACAAGGAATCACTTTTCGTCTTTAGTATGTTTTTATCATTTTCCGAATGGGGGTTTGTATTTTTGTGTTTTTAATGAAAGTAAAGGGTTGTACGTATTAGGCCCAACTGTTTGGACATAATCACATTTGCAGGTTATGTACCCTTGGAATCCAAGCTAACCATGGAAGTTTTGCATTAGATATCGTTTTCTATAGATGATGAACACCTGCCCACGCGACTCTGATTGCCCTCCAAGGGATGGTCATGGGTTGATTTTGGGCCAAAATCAAAACCAAACCGATCTAGTTGGTTGGGCAAAATTACAAACTGAAATCGACCAAGCTGCGTCTAAAACCGATCTGGTCCGTTAACTGACATTGGCAGGTTGGTTTAGATCAGTTCTCGGTTTGTGTGAAGACAAAAATACATGACAAATTTCTCTCAAAAGATATAAACCGATATGAGTGATTGCTCAAAGGAAAGCACAAATGAAGCAGCCCAAGAAGAGCACCAAAGTAGTAGTTGTTGCCTTCTCCAAATGGTCTCCCTGTCCTTCTGCAAAGGGACTCTTAAACTAATTAGGTTTTGTTTTCATGTGGCAAAAACACGGTAACTCATAAATAATTAACCATTTATATTACTATACATATTAATTATGATTAAAAAAATAAATTAAATGTATGCGGGTCGGTTCGATTAATTGCACCTTAAGAATTTTGGGAACAGATTACCAAACTGATTAAGGGCGGTGCGATTCGGTTTAACCACTGAAAATAATAAAAATCAAATCAAATCAAATCAAACCAAACCAAGTTGCCGATGTTGTTCGGGTGGTTATGCCCAACCCTATCTCCTGTAATCCTTATATATAAATCAATGTTGCTTTCCCTATCTCATATATAATTCTTACTGGCCTTTCTACAAGCGATGAGCGCATGCGAAAAGTTTGTTTTACATTTTCTTTTTATATTTGGTCATGTATAAAGATTTTCTCTTTATTACAGCGCCCTGCGAAAGTCCCTTCCTAATCTTCATTTTATTTGTACTTTTATTTTATTTTTCTTTTTTAAACAATAACAACAATCTTTATTGCGACAACAAAATACACACTAATATATGATACATACAATTTTCGTTCGTTTTCCATAAGAAATTGGATCAGTAGATTGACAGGAAGTGGAACATCAAATGAAAGAATAATGACAAGTAATGAGACACCCCACCTATAATACAAAAAATTTGCACACCAAATGGACATAGATGACAAAGAAATTTGGGTAAATTATATTTTGCACCCTCGAGTTTGGGTGTAATTTTAATCTCATACAACATCTTCAAAACATTTTAACTTCATACCAAAACTTGTATAATTGTATTTAGTTGTAATTTCATACAATTGTTAGTTAATTAATCTGCCAAAACTTCTATCCCGCCTTCCACATGTTTTCGATGTTACGGAAACTGCATTTATTAAATGATTAGACGACGATAAATTTGGAGTGGTTTGCTTGCTGAGAAATTATAGGATTTTGGTTTTTTTACGAAATTGGAGATTTGGGGATGAGGAGAGCCTAGACAAATTGACCACCTTCTTCTTTCTTATTATGCAAATATAGATTCACATTCTGATCGCCCTCAAACTTCTGTATCTACTTTGAGTCACGATTGATGTTGATAGGAAAATGGGGAAGCAAAGGAAGATAGACAAATGGAGAAGCACAGGAAAATGATGCTCAAGTCCCCTTCCGTTGTCGAACCAGCCTTCTTCTGCTCTCACACTGATCCTGAACGAGCACCATGTTCTTGCTAGGACTCATTAGCACTGCCACACCATTGCTACCATCTGCAAGCGATGAATGAATATTGGATTGAAGTAATTTTATAATTCAAGACAGAATTTGTGGCATGTGCATAAGATGACGGGAACAAGAAGAGAGAACCCATAAAGTTTCGGCGTTCATCAGCCCAAGAACAAGAACTCAAAAAAATTATGTTAATTTAATTTTTAAATTGGTTATTGACAAGGGTGTGTTTTTTATTTGGGTTGTGAGTCTGTGGAAGTCTAGTTGGAAATAGAGTGGGACCTTATGTAGGCAATTAAGAATTGGTAGAAAATAAGACGAATATATAAAATTGTAATTAAATATAAGTTTGTGTGCAGAATTGAAATATTTAAACATACTCTATGAGATTGCAATTGCATTGGGAGGTAAAATGTAATTTACCCAGAAAATTTCATACACCAAAAAGAAATTAAAAACAAACAATTGGAGAAATACTAATTATTTTTTAAAACCACCAAAAAGGACATCAATTTTATTTTTAGATTTTTTTTTAGTTGAGAAAACTGTCACAACAAATATAAGCAAATATGAAGGGCGCATGATTACGTCATAAGGCAAACAGGAGTTATCGAAAACGTATTTTTCAAGATGTATAAACTCAACGTTTGCATCTAAAACCAAAGGCTTCTGAATTCTCACCGATTAGGTAAGTTTCTCTAGGTGAAGGAGTTATTGAAAACCTGCATATGTCAAAAAAGTAAAGATTATTTGACTAGAACTTAACGATAAAATAAAAAAAATTCATTAAGTGTAAGCTAGTATTCTCACGGTGGGTTTTGCTTTGTATTATACCTTAATTTTTTTAGTTTCTTCCAATATTTTAACATAAATATAATAGCAAGTGAACTGAAATTTTTTTATATTTTATATGACATTATTGTCTAAATTTTTTTCAATAATTTAATTGATAAAAACTTAGACATGATGTATTTTTCATCTGACCCAACATTTGACGAGATAAAAGGTTGAAATGACATACAATTTTTGTTTTCAATGTTATAGGATATAAATGTACACAAATTCATGATTTTGGCATTGAAAATTGGAGATGGACATTTCATGGACCACTGGTCATAAAATATTCATTCAAAAAGCACTTCATGCATTAATTATTAACTACACATAAAGAAGTGGTTGGAGATGAATTCCAGGCATGTATTTTATGCGGCTTGTTCAGGGATCAATTCATGTCGCGTGTGATTCACATGATGATGGTCAAAGGGAGGCTGAAATGCCTATATGAATATTCGCAACTCTCAGAAGAGTGGATTGTTGTGTTTAAGCCACCAATTGATCATATTTTAAAAATAATAATAATGATAACAACTACACATAAAGAAAAATTTAAAAACAACATGTGTATGCAGTTGATTTTTTTCTTTGTAGAACCCTAATGATTTCTTTTTTACCAAAATCAAAGATGAAAAAAAGATTGAATAAGTGAAGAGAGTCTTCTACCTATGAAGGGACATTGAAATTATGAGGAAAACACGTAAGTTATGGTCAAATCGCACATTAAATCTCCAAAAGCCACGATAATCAACCGTGCTCTTTTGACTAACATCCCCAGTACACCGTTGCGGAACCGTTTCATGCCAATAATATAAGAACATGTGTTAATTTTTCTTTACATGTCCTTATATTATTAGCACGTGCCAATGTCATGCATTATTGACACCTGACATCACCGCTGTAGTGTACCAATG